TACTCTCTCTCTCTCTCTCTCTCTCTCTCTCTCTCTCTCTCTCTCTCTCTCTTAAACCTGCCATTTGATGGCAGATTACTGGGCACATTTGCTGTTTTCAGAGCCACAGTGATCTTATCTGTTTGGTAATCAGTTTCATCTTGCATGAATGCATACCATGATAAAACATCAAACAGGTGGATATTTTGAATGGGCCAGAAAGCGATTTCTTTTTGGTAAACTGTTTATAGCCTCGTTCAAATACGTAATTCTCCCATCTGTCTCCATTTACAGATTAGCTAAACAACGTACGGCAATTTGCTCTTGTTTTCCTTGCTAGATATTTATCTGGCTGTTGTTTCTCTCAAATCTTCTTCGAATCTGAATTCAGATGTTCATCACTCGCTTTTTCTTTATGCAGCAAAGGGAGAACTGGTCACATTCCATATCGAGATTCCAAGCTGACACGCATTTTACAGCCCTTCTTAGGAGGTAATGCAAGAACTGCCATTATCTGCACGATGAGCCCTGCAAGAAGCCACATTGAGCAATCCAGAAACACCCTTTCATTTGCAAGCTGTGCAAAACAAGTAGCCACCAATGCCCAAGTTAATGTGGTGGTGTCCGACAAGGCACTGGTAAAGCATCTGCAAAGAGAACTTGCTAGGTTGGAAAATGAACTGAGATATACAGAATCAGCCACCTGCACGCATCATTCTGATGCCCTGCGTGACAAAGATGCCAAGATTAAGAAGGTTAGTTTAATCTTTTCATTTTGCTGCTGTTGATACGTGAAGAAAGATGGTTCATATGCACAGTAGTACATTTGGGTTGCAAACTGCATGTACACCACAGCATAAGCAATGACCAGTTTACTTCAGCATGTCCCTGGATTCTGAATGCGATTTGCCTTTTCTTACACTCGTTCGTTGTTTAGATGGAGCGTGAAATCATGGACCTGATGCAGCAAAGAGATCTTGCTCAGTCTCGACTTGAGGATTTGCTCCGAGCTGTTGTGGATGAACGAGCTTCAAGACAATGGGTACGTATCCTTTTACCCTGTTGAGTTTGCTTATGTTCTCTAACCTTTGTTTCTTCTTTTCTTCTGTAGGAAGAATCCAGCCATTCGTCGGTATCCCATGCACGCAGTGAATGTGAAGATGGAGTTTCGATTTATGATACGTCTAATATTGCATACCAAATTGCAGATTTAGACTCTTCGAGATTTGATATGCCGGAAGAAAGGAACAACTACGAGTATAACATAGAGATTCCTAGTAAGATGAAGTCACATTTGCGATCGATCAGCAGTCCTACTTTGAGTGAACAGATCCTGCAGCAGGGATGGGAGGAAATTGTCGAAGCCACGCATGAAGATTCTGAAGACCACTGCAAGGAAGTCCAGTGTATTGAGATACATGCTATAAGCACAAGCAGGAGTGACGAGTTCAACCTCCTGATTAGTGATGGAAGTGATAGTCTGCTGGCACTGACTGATGAAGACAGACTTGGGGATCCTGCACCACAATCTTTAGGCGATACACACTTGAAACCTGCAATGGAGCAATCGATAGATATTGCGACAAGGACAACCGATAACATTGTCAAACCATGTCCTGATTCATCATCTCCATTGCCTTCAGTGTCGAAGGTAATGAATTCCGGGGAGTTGGTTCTGGCCAGAAGTAGAAGCTGCAAGGCAAGTCTGATGAACACTTCAATCTTGTCTTTGCTAGAAAACGTCGAACAAGGTAAGGAAACACCGCAGGAGACCTTCTTAAAAGAGTCTCCTGGAAGGCCTAGACTGTCTGCGTTGCGTTATGATGTCGAAAATGAGAAACACTCAGTAGAAGGATCTCAGGCCTCAGAAAAGCTGACTTCCAATGACACAATTCAAACCGAGGATATAAAAACTGTTCATGGAGAGGCTGATGCTAATCTCAGCACCTCTTTTTCAGGAACGAATGAGATGGATGAATGCCATTGTCACAAGCAACTCCCTTCTTATCAGGTAGGCTTTCTCATTTGTGCATGAATTTACCTTTTGTTCATTTTGCTAGTACATCAGAAGCTACTCAAAGCTAAAATACCTGAAAGACAGAGGTTCTGTTAGTATGTTATTCCTGCTTCACGTTGTGAGTCTCATGTCTCATGTCTTGAACAATGGCTACGAATTGAATGTTCCTTGAGACAGCATTATGGAAACAGGACTACAGGACCATGTATCAGTAGATGATTTGCAAACCACCAGAGATCCATTGTAGACTTGAAATTACAGTATTGATAGAAGTTTATATATTAGTAGTCTACAAGCCTGCCTTTTCCAGTATTCCTCTGTTCTACGACAGATGACTTCCATTCAATTTTTGTGTAAACATATATATATATATATATATATATATATATATATGCTTATTGATGATGATATGAATCAGGAGATTCGACAGACTTGGTGGGAAGCCCATGGAGCTGAGAAGAATGTAAAGGATGTGGGCGTGGAAGCGGTGCTATCTCCCTACGAGTCTCCTTCGCGACGGCCACTGGAATTTGAGAGAAAGCGACAGGAGATAATCGAGCTGTGGCACGCATGCAATGTTCCCTTGGTCCATAGAACTTGCTTCTTCCTGGTCTTCAAAGGCGATCCAGCTGACTCCATCTACATGGAAGTCGAATGCAGAAGGCTGTCCTTTCTAAGAAACGCTTTCTCTCATGGAAAGGCTGGTGGCGTAGTGGCTGAAGACGGTCACAGAGTTAGTCTTGCTTCGAGGTCGGATCATGATCTTATGCTTGCATTTTGCCCCTGCATTCAAATAGGCGTACATCTGCATGGGTGAAATGATCATATGAACTTTTCATGCTGTTGTTAGCTCGAGATATCTTCGTCGCGAGAGAGAAATGCTGTGCAGGCAGATGCAGAAGAAGCTGTCCCCGGACGACAGGGTGCGTCTTTATGCTAAGTGGGGAGTTGCTCTGAACTCCAAGCAGCGGAAATTGCAGCTAGGTCAGCGCCTGTGGACCAAAACCGACCTCGAACACGTAAAAGAGAGCGCATCCCTCGTCGCTAAGCTGATCGGATTTGTAGAGCAAGGGCGGGCAATGAAGGAGATGTTTGGACTCAGCTTCACTCCGCAGCAAACTCACAAGAGATCCTTCAGTTGGATGCAGGGATAGTCTGCCGTCGCGTGAGCAGACTGAGGCGGTACGTATGCATTAATAATCTGTCATGGCCTGGCATCAACTAAAAACAAGTTCTTCACTCCATTTTTTTTTGTGATTCTTTGATCAAGTACTGTTGTAGAGAAAACGTTGTAAATTGCTGTGATCAACCAAACGAGAATACTGCATTGTTATGCATGTATTGCCACAGTCAAATTTGTATAGCAATTTGCAGCTTGTTTATCACTTTTCTCTCTCTCTCTCTCTCTCTCTCTCTCTCTCTCGTTGCAGTTGATGATTGTATGCTTCCATGGGAGCAAAAATCCAAACTCTCTCTCTCTCTCTTTCTCTCTCTCGTTGCAGTTGATGATTGTATGCTTCCGTGGGAGCAAAAATCCAAAGATCCCTTGTTGTTTACCCCCATTTAAATGATTTTTTAAAACAAATTTATTATTGAAAATTAATTTATAATAGTTATCTAATGTAGTTGTCATGTTTTAGATAGTTATAGATATATTTTAAGTAGTGATCCATGATCTAGAAGTTATAGATAGTTCCTACACTTAACTCGGGTGACATAATGGGTGAAGTAGTTACCACTAGGTCCTATAAATAGGATCATAGTTCATGAAAAAAAATAGTGTGCACTTGGAAATATCTTATAATTGTTCTAAGTTTTATCTCTTGTTTAATACTACTTCAAAATTAATTGTATCATAGTATTCTATTTTTATCGTTTCCTTGTTTCTTCATCCCAACATTTGTGGTATCAAAGCCAAGTTCAATCTTAAATTACAACAGCTGTAAGGTAGGAAACCAGAGCCTGTTGTAATTCATGGGGAGATCAAAGGATGATCCGCAGTGGTGGAGATGACGACGGAATTCGACAATGATCTTTTAAGCAATTATAGGAATTACTTTGAGCGATTGTAGAGGGCTGATGGATGGCTGTGGAAGGGCAACGGGACATCAATAACATTGCTCTGATACCAAGTGTTAGAACCCTTGTAGATTCTAAGCTTAGGGTTAATCTCTTTAGGGGATCGACCTCCTTGGAACTCTATAGGGGTTCCTTCCTCTAGGTTGCTGCTCAAAGGCTGCTAAAAGGATTCATCGATAAAAGATGATGAATACATGGCTATTTATAGGGCTTCTAAACCTAAACTCCTAATATGACTCTTACTCAAGACTCCTACTTCTAACTAACTCCTAATAGGACTTCTACTCAAGATTTTTACTTCTAATCAACTCCTAATGCTTATCTAAGAAACAATCTCCAAACTAATCCTAACCTTAGTCAGCCTCTTCACTTTTTAATAGGGGTCGGCTAGGTAGGTTTTACATGAATGCCCCTTTCAATAAAACTCAATTAGGACTCTCCTAACTAGAGCCCTAACACAGACCAATAAAAAAGAGGTGGCAAACTATGCCTTGATGGCTTTCAACGACGAGGTAAATGATTTAATCAAAACTCCTTTACTTTACTATGAAATTATTTGATGCATTTCATAAGTTATTTTTAAATTAGTATATAGAATGTAAAAAAAAAAAAAAGATCATGCTTCTCTTTCTAGTGATTTTAAAAAATTAACAAAAATTGAGCATGATAATTGCATGTTAACTTCTTACACTAAGTATGAAGAGTTAGATTCACTTAAGAAGAAAAATGTATTATTACAACAAACAAAATGATTTTGATTGAAAATGCTTTATGTTTAATGAAATCATTCTTGATAATTTAATGATGCATGATGATTTGAAGTAATGATGATTTTTGTGATTTATGGTTTATTGATCTTGATGACTCTTGTGATAAATCTTATTTTTCAGTTTTAAACGATGATGCATATTTTTGTTTAGTATAAAAGATAAAGACATGCTTGTATGAAATAAATCACACAAATTGAAACACATAAAAAATGGGAATGCATTATTCTTGAAAATATCTCTATTCCTAAAATCTTATCAAGTTTTCAATAAGAGATTAATGAATCTATTTATGTTATTTTATGAATCTCTTAAATTGTGAAAATGATTTTGATGATTTGATGATTTGAATTTAAATGAGATTTTTTCAGTCGAATCATAAACTTGATCTTGATTTCTCGATATTGATATTTGAGATTTTTTTTGTGAATCAAGATCTCTTACTCGATCTTCTATATTTCTTTTTGCTATTTACTAAAGAGAATATTTATAAAACCAAACAATGAACTTTCTCTTGATTTCTTGACTTGAGGTATCTTTATGGGAATCAAAATCTTTTTTATCTTCTATGATTTCTTCTTTTTACCATTTACTAAAAAGGAAAATTATGCAAACAAACGATCTTCATATTTTTATATCGTTCACTATGATTCTTTCATTTTATTAAAGAGAATTATCTAAATGAATCTTGATTTATCTTTTGATTTTTTGAAATTATAACTTGAGATTTTTATATGAATCAAGATCTTTCATTATTTGTTCTCCTATGATTATTTTGTTGTTTATTAAAGATGAAATTTATCCAAATTAACCATGATATGTCACTTGACTTCTTAAGGTTTATGACTTGAGTTTTATGTATAATGCTCCTTTATATTCTTGAATTGTATACCTCATCACTCTTGATTTAAATTTATCTTTTTGTCATCATTTGAAAATTGATGTGAAGAGAAAAGAATCGTAGCATTGTATTCTTCCCTTCTTTTTTACAATGACAAAGAGGGAGAAAGGATTGCTAACTTGCATATATCAAAAGAGAAGCAAAAAGTGCTAGCTTTCCTATCTTTAGATTTGCACATCTAAAGAAGCAAAAAGTACTAGCTTACCCATCTAAAAAAAAAGCAAAAATTGCTATCATCTCAAGAGAAGCAAAAGTTTTGCTAACTTTTGCATCTCAAAAACTTGCTACCTTGTATATTCTAAAATGATGTAAAATTTGCTAGCTTGCATATTACAAAATGAAGTAAAACTTGCTAGCTTGCACATCGCAAAGAAAAACAAACTTGCTAGCTTACTTATCTCAAAAGAGAAGCAAAATTTGCTAGCTTGCACATTTTAAGAAAATATAAAAACATGCTATCTTGCACATCTCAAAAGATGCAAAAATTTTGCTAACTTTCATATCTGAAAAAACTTACTAGCTTACATGATGATATATGTAATGATGTTTTAAAAACTTGAAATTATGTTTATAATATAATGATTTGAAATTATATCTTAAAAACTTGCTAGTTGCACTTTTCCTTTTTGTTGATAGCAAAGGGGGAGAAGGTATGATGATGATCATGCATGGTATAATAAAATTTTATTATTATTGATGGTTTAGATGCAATACTTGAACGTATGATGTAAGTAATGATATGATATATTGCATATATTATGCCATGTTGATAGAGGGAGTTTAGTTTAAACTTCGTCATCAATTAGTTGACATCATAAAAAAGGGAGAGATTGTTGAATCTCGGATTTTGATGATGAAATCAATTGATGAGTTTACGATCTAATCTGTGTTTTGAGTGATGTAGGACTAACTTCGATCAAAAAAGGTAAATCGATTAAAGTAGGAAGAATAGGACGTTGGGCCGGAGTGAATATGTCAGAAGATTGGACGTCGGTCAGAGGATTGATTGATGTGCCGATAGAAGGACTTCGTGCCATGAGTTCGGGTATCGAGCCAAAGGATCGAACATTGTACCAATGAGATCAGAAGTAGTGAGATGTTAACATGTCGATTGGGCAATGCACCGAAGGAGAGGATGATGCACAGAAGGATTGGATGAAGCACTGAATGAACCAATGACATGTTGGACAATATTGAATTCTAGTCTTATAATCGGTTGTGTCTTAATTGATCATAGTTAGGTCATAATTGAGTTAGTTTTTAGTGTAACCATGCTAACATAGTTAAGGGCTCATTGGGCTTGAATTGGGACTATTTTGGGTTAAGCAGAAGGCTCATTCGGTGACCCAAGGTTAGGGGAAACCACCTATGAGTTGGAAAAGTCAAGAGCACACTTTTCCAAGCTGTCAAGTGGGGCTACTACCAGATTGGGCGATGGTACCACCTAGATATAGTCTTCCAGATTATGTCAGGTTGTAGTACCATCGGTCTGGGCAGTGGTACCACTTAGTATCAGTGCTGCAGGCCGTGGTACCACCCAACATAAGCAATGATACCGTTAGGACCCGAGAAACTTGAGATGAGATATTTTTTTATTCTATTTTTTAAATTGTTTGGGGTCTATAAATACCCCACTATTTTCTGTTTGGGTAAGAAAGAAAAAAGGATAGAAATGGGAAAAGAATCCTTGATGAAAAAGAGTTGAAAAAGCTTTAAAAGTGTTGAGTATTCCCCTCCACCTCTTAGAGTTTAGAGTTCATTCTAAGATATGTGTGAAACTTGTAAAAGTTCTCTCTTGAGTTTGTAAAAAGATGAAAGAGTTGTAAGGGTAGTTGATCTTCGCCCATCGGAAAGAAGATTGTTAGTGAAAATCGGTGGCCTCGAGTGAAGATGAATCAGGAGTGGACGTAGGTTGGGACAACCGAAGCACTATAAATCTGGTGTGCTCTTTTCCTTTGCTGCTTACTTTTATTGCTTACTTAGCTGCTCACTTCACTTTACATTTACTCTAAGTCAAGCTTAAACACTTTTTGATACATGCTTTATCGAAACGGTTTTTCTACATTGAACTAGTTTTCAAATCGATATAAGTTTTATGAAAGCACTAATTCACTCCCCCCCCCCCCTCTTAGTGCTAATTTCGATCCTAACATATACTATTTCTAATCTGGTTCTCCACTTCATTCATATACTTTCTGAAATTCTCAAATGCCTCGGACTTATACTTCATCACGTACACATGTTCATACTTTGAGAAATCATCAATAAAAGTAATAAAGTAAGAGTAACCACCAATTGTCATGGGTCCACATACATCACTATATATGAGTTCTAACAGCTCGGTAGCTTTCTCTCTAATTTCACTAAATGAAGAGTTAGTTAGTTTTCTACGAAGGCAAGGCTCATAAGTTGCATATGACTCTTAGTCGAATAGATATAGATATCCATCGTTTAGCAACTTTTGAATCCTTTCCTTATGGATGTG